CCATGCGGGGTGACGTCGCCTCGTTTATTTAAATATATAAATATACATAAATAAATAAATAAATAAATAAATAAATATATGTATAATCAGAAAAATGCGACGTTGTGTCGCCTCTGCGACGTCGCCGAATGTCGCCTTTTTCTAAAATATTTATATATAAATATAAATAAATAAATAAATAAATAATTATATATATATATATATATATATATATATATATATATATATATATATAATTTTATTATTATTTTTCGTTTCGCCCGGTAGCGTGTGGTCCGCGTACCGATATGCCGTCGGACAGGTACGTACCGCCTGTACCGGGCGGTCTCATTCGGTATTGCCTACCTGTACGGGCGGTATCATTCGGTATTACCTACCTTGCTATAAGAAGTGTGTCTATTGAGTTTCCTATTAGTATAGGAGTACACTAACGATCCACATTAAATCTTTACTTTTTTACATTGATAATGGATGAACTTAATAGTCACTTACATAATAGACCACCCTGGTGTATGTTATTTGCTGATGATATTGTCTTAGTTGATAAGAGCTTAAGTAGAATTAATTATAAGCTTGAGCTATGGTGGCAAGCTTTAAAACCTAAAGGTTTTGGATTAAGTAAAACTAAAGCTAAATATATATAATGTAATTTTAGTGATTCTAGAAATAGACAAGAGAATATAGTTAAATTGGATAGACAATAAGTCCTTTTAAGTAAACGCCATAGGTATCTTGGATCAATTATTTAACAAGACGAAGAGATCGATAAAGATATTATTCATATAATGAAAACAGGATGGTTAAAATGACGAGGGACGTTAGGAGTCTTGTGTGTTCATCGGGACCTTTAAGATTAGAAGAAAATTTTGTAAGATAGTTGTGAAACCAACAATCTTTATTGATTTGAGTGTTGGACAGTTAAGAAAAAACATATACAAAAAGTGTGTGTTGCCAAGATGAAAATGTTGAGATGGATGTATGGAGTTACTATGAAAGATAGAAAAAAAATACTTTTATTTATGAAGAACTAGGTATCGATATAAGATGAAAAAAAATCATTTAAGATGGTATGAACATGTGCTAAAGAGCCTCCAGATACAGTAGTCAGAAGAGGTGAAATAATTAATATTAGAGGTACAAGGATAAATAGCAGAAGACCTAAAAAGAAATTAATAGAAACTATAAATAAAAATTTAAGTACTTTAAACTTTACTAAACATATGGTGTTTTATAGATCTTAGTAGTGGCAAAAGATCCATATAGCTGGGGCCTATGACTTTGTTGTTGTTGTTGTAGTTGAAACAAACATTTTATGAGACATCTAATGATGCTAGCTTTTGTGTAATATAATTAATTACTTCTTTAGCATACCCTTAGATAGCTTTTGTGATATATATTTTATTGTTTCTAAACATTTAGGTCTTAGATGAGAAAAATTAAATAATTTACCTATTAGGTAATAACTGTTAACCTACCATTACCCCTATTTACACAAGTCATTAGGGATCAATTTTATCATCACCAAGGTTCACCTTCTAGATAATTATAAATGATAATACTTAAAAATAGTGGAGATTATTTAATTAAAGAAGAAACTATGATATATTCATTTGGAAGATAATGAGTCACATTATGTATATCATATAACAAAGATTGAAACTGACCTACTAATAGCTATGAAGATAATGATGGATTTTACCAGTTAAGCTAGTCAATTTTTCATATCCTAGAGGGACTATATTTTTCTCATTTCACGCCTCTCAGGTCTATACAGATTAATCGTTTTACCCTTTCAAAGGGCAAATGAAGCTGACTGTTGCTTCCTCCATTCGTAAGCAGCGATTCAGTCAAGGGTTGCAATTTTGTACCCTATTGTTGTACCATTCCTTGCTTGGATTAATATATATTGACTATTACTTATGTACTGACACATGGTACACTGATATGTATCAAAAGGGGAAGGAAGAAGAGGAGGAAGATAAAGAAGGAAGAGGAAGGAAGAAGTGGAGGACGAGGCGGCAATGGAGCAAGGGGAAGGAAGAAGAAGAGGATGAGACAGTGGAGGAGCAGGAGGAGGAAGGAGGAAGGAGGAAAAGGAAGGGAAAAGAGGAGACAGTTTTAGGAAAGAGGAGGAAGCCTACTCGAGGTCAGTGGGCAACACATTTATGGGATAAAAAAGGGATTGTGAGCTCCACACGTATAGAGAAAAGGGCATGCAAACATGAGCTCTAATTTGCCTGGCTTTGAAGTTTTTTAAAGTTAGGTTGGACCAGACCACCCGAAATGGGGGTGGTCCACGTCTAGGTTTGGATTGAGACCGAGCAAATTCTGGTCAATACAAAACAGATGAAAATGATTTCCTTGGTGTCATTGATCTCCATTTCTTGAGCATACATCGACTACTAGGTGAAAGATTGTTGCTTTTCTTTTTCCTCTTTGTTTCCTTTGATAGATGATGGACTATATTGATGTACCATAATAATGTTTTGATTTTTGTATCATATATCATCACTGCTTCTTATGAAACTCTTGATTGATTCAATTCTTAGTATAAATATGTAGTGTTCAAATCCATGCTATGTTAAATGACATACTGATTTCATCGCAAGCTAAATAATTCATTTGCATTCAGCCATTGAGAATTTAGCTAGAGAATTTGTTTTTTTTTTCTGCCTTTTCTTTTAGATCCACTGAATTTTTTGGTTTGTCTGATTTTGGTGCAAGTGTGGGAGCTTATCTTAGATGTTAAATTTTCTTGGGGAAAATTATGTTTTCTTGGGAGCAAACCGCAAAGAGGCTGAATTTGATTTCCATGTGCTGACTCCTGTTTAATATTTCTAAGACTGAAAAACAGGAGACTTTTCTGATAGAACCTGTCATTCACATACATAGAAACTTACCCTCTACATGGTATTTGTCTAGTTACCACAATGACCACAAGTCGGATATAAATTCGCTAATTATGTCAATTTTATGAACCACTGGCATGATTCATTTGTAGTTATGTCAGTTTATTTAAAATTATAATGTTTCTACTATATTTTAGATCTTTATTCTTTTTGCTGTTCCTGGATGTTCTTCTAAAATAGGATTCACTCAGTTGTTTCCAGATCTCTCATTGTCAAATTGACCTTTTCTTTGTCTGATCACTGCTGCTATTCAAGTTCTGATATGCCCTTTAGGTTCCTAGGTGTTTCTGCATTTTAAATGCAAATCACCAAATGATTTTTTATGATTTCCTTCTTGAGGAAGAATAGAGAGGCCATTTTAGTTTACAAATCGAATTAAAGTCGGCCATAATATTCAATTTGAATACTTCTTGGTAATAATTTGATGTGTGCAATTAGATAAACATGTTATTGCTACAAGTATTCTTCAGCATAGGACTCTTTGTATTTAGTTACATAAACATGAAGCCCATCTCCTTGGATGATGGGCAAGTAGTAAACATAAGGTTGCTCCATTGCCACATTTGTTCCATGGATTTAAGTTGCAAATAGAAGACTATCTGGCTTCCCTAGAGTCAGCCACCCCATATGCATTGAGCTGGAACTTTGTCCTTTGTTTTTTTTTTGTATATAAGTTAATACATTGGTCGAAATACCTTGCTCTATAGTTCTCTTCCACCCATTTCACATTATTAAGATACTCTTGATCTCAGGCTGCTCTGCATCCTTGACAGACAAAAGTTTTGTACTGAATATATAAGGTTGTGTCTCCTTTTTTTGGGCTTATGATGTAATGTTTGAAAAGGTAAAACTATTTCATGCTATTGGTGATGCCTAGGTACTTTACGTAACATGTGTAATATGTTTTTAAGATTCCTTGTTTATCTCACTTTTGTTATGACAACTGTCGTATTGCCGTCTGTGTATCTGATGTATGTTTCTTCTTTCTGAGGGTTGCACTGATGTCTCTTCTATACCATCTTTGTGACAATAGCTGGTTTTAATATGTATGTACAGGCATGATAGAACTGACTTTAATTTTAAAACAGGATCTTTCTCAGCAAAGATCTGAGGCTATTCTTCCTGATGAGGGAATGATGTCAGTTTCTCTATTGAGACACCAGGTTCGATTGGATTAAACTTTTGAATAATATATTGATGGTTTGGTTGTTAAGGTACCTGCTTTGTGTTTTTCCCATTGCTACCTGAAAAGAGCATTTCTGTTACAGCGTATAGCTTTATTTTGGATGGTACAAAAGGAAACGGCCAGTCCACACTGCAGTGGTGGAATACTTGCAGATGATCAGGCATGTACAACATTTTGCCAGTTTATTTGTTATTTAATAATAGTATATCTTATGCAGTAACAAGTAATGATCCCATTTGGTTTCTGTCTATGTTTCAGGGACTAGGTAAAACAATATCTACGATAGCACTAATCCTGATGGAGAGATCTCCATCACACCAACCATTGTCTTGCATGGGTAAACAAGATAGACCGGAGTCTTTACATTTGGATGATGATGATGACTGTGGTGATTTCTCCGAGATTAATGGAGTAAAGAAGCCCCAGATTTCTGGTCTTATGGTGGACAGTGGATCCAAGAAAAGGGAGTACCCTGTGATGGCTGTATCGAGTAGGCCTGCAGCAGGAACTTTGATTGTTTGCCCTACAAGTGTACTTCGACAATGGGCTGAGGAACTGAAAACTAGAGTTACTAGCAGTGCTAATCTGTCATTTTTAGTGTATCATGGTAATAACAGAACGAAGGACCCCCATGAGCTCACAAAATATGATGTTGTATTGACAACATATGCAATTGTAAGCATGGAAGTCCCCAAGCAACCACTTGTTGGTGAAGTTGATGAGGAGAAAAGAAAACATGATAGTCTCATCAGACATATGGCTGATAAAAAAAGGAAGGGTTCTCCAAGCTCCTCGAAAAAATGCATGAAAAATGGAATTGAAACACAGAGTGCATTGCTCAAGTCGTCTGTTCGACCTCTTGCTAGAGTTTGGTGGTTCAGGGTAATTCTGGATGAAGCTCAAAGCATTAAGAATCACAGGACTCAAGTTGCAAGGGCATGTTGGGGTCTGCGGGCTAAGAGAAGGTGGTGCTTGTCTGGGACTCCCATACAGAATGCAGTTGATGACCTCTATAGCTATTTCAGATTTCTCGGATATCAGCCATATGCTGATTATGGATCTTTTTGTTCCATGATAAAGAATACAATAAGCCGGAATCCAAAAAATGGTTACAAAAAGCTTCAAGCTGTTTTGAAGACTATAATGCTACGCCGTACTAAAGGTGAGTTGGAAATTTTATTATCGAAATAATTTTTGAGACGACACTACTGATAGATGGTTTTCTCTAAAATTAAATGAGGAATTATGAAGTTATCCTTTTTTAACTCTACGAGTTATTTGAGGTATATTACATAGATATCTTGTTTTTATCATCATTTTTGTTATTTTTCTTTGATCCCCTTATTGGTAATTTTTGTGCCATGTATATATTGCTCCCAGGAAAGGGGTATAACGTGATTAGCTCCTCCAGAAATCTTTACTAAACCTTGGCTTTCATTTTCAATTTAACAAAATTTATGGGAGCCTTCTTATGTGCGTGTGCCTGTGAGACTGTGTATTTAATTTATGCTTTGTGTACCTGGGTATAGACTATAGTGTTAGGATCGGAGCGACACTAAGAGGGCGGGGGGGGGGGGGGGGCGGGTGAATTAGTGGAGCGGATTAAAACTCGTAAGTTTGAAAACGATTTAAATGCGTAGAGATTTCGATTCGACAAAGAATGACTTGGTAAAAGTAACTCAAGTAAAGTAAGGAGATGAAAACCAAAAGCTTGTTGCTATGTAAATAAAGTTTTTAGAAAGGTAAACACTCACATATTCAAGGAACACACCAATTTAAAATGGTTCGGTCAAATGACCTACATCCACTTGCGAAGCCTTCTTCGATGAGGCTCCCAACTTCCACTAGCAAATCACTTTGAAGGGGAAGGACAAATACCCCTCCTACAACCTTTTACAAGTGGTTCACACTCTTACAGATTTTTCAAAGAGAAAGAGGGAGGTGAACACTTAAGCTATTAAAAACAAGACTTGCTAAAGACTTTGCTAAGACTTTTTCTCAATCTCTAACTTCTCAAAGGTTGTGTTCTCTGTTGAGAATTGAGGGATATTTATAGGCCCCAAGAGGATTTAAATTTGGGCTCCAAATTTGAATTGCTTTTGGGTTTCCCGGTACTAGCGGTGCCATCGCCTGAGGTTTCCCGGTGCTGGCGGTGCCACCGCCTATCAGTGTCTGACACTGATAGTGTACTAGCGGTGCCACCGCCCAGTCCAGTAGTTTGCTGGCAGTGCCACTACCGGAACTCTCGTGTTCTGGGCGGTGCCACCGCCTAGACTATTTCAGCTCACTGGTTGGGCTCCAAACTTGGCCCAAACCAGTCCGAACTTGGGCCCAATTGGCCCCTAACCGGGCTATAGGATTAACCCTTAATCCTAACCCTAATTACATGCAAACTATGAAATTAAGACATAGTCATAAGCAAGTTTTTAACCGGCAACGTCGAGTTTCCTTCCAGCGAGCTTTTCGGCGAACTTCCGGCGGACTTCCGATACACCCTCGGATTTCTTCCGCAGACTCCCAGCAGGCTCCCGGTCTTGTGGCGAGTTCAGCGAGTCTTTGGCAAGTAGCCGAACCTTCTTGGTGATCTCCGCGAACCTCCGACGATCTCTCCGGCGGACTTCCGAAAACTTCGGCAAGTCCCCGATTTCTTCTCGGTGTTCTGGCAGCACTTCCGACGAATCTTTGAACTCTCGGCGAACTCTCGAACACCCATCGAACTTGACTCCGGTAGACTTGCTTTATGTCTTCAAGCTATCGTAGTTAATATTGTACAAGTAAAACTTCGATCTAGACAATTACTCCTAAGCAATTAATCAGGTTGTCCGGCATGTCATTGGTCCCTCGACGCTTCGTCCGATTCTTCGGCGCATCGTCCTCTCTTGCGGCCTATTGCCCAATCGGCTAGTTGACTCCGCAATTTCGATATCCTTGACGCAATACCCGCTCTTCTTGGCCCGATGCCCGAATCCACGGCCCGAAGCCTTCCGTTGATACGTCGACCGATCCACCGGCCCGACGTCCAATCTTCTGACATGTTCCTCTGACCCAACATGATTTTCCTGCTTTACTTGTCTCATCCTAATCGAAGCATCTTGCGTCACTCAAAATGCAGATTAAATCATAAACACATATCAAGTGGTTTCATCATCAAAATACGAGATTCAACAATCTCCCCCTTTTTGATGATGACAATCACTTGATGACGGAGTTAACCTTAACTCCCGGAGTTTAAACAAACTCCCCCTATCAATATGCCATATTGATAGAACCTTGAATTCAAACTGAATTCAAGTTATTGCAATATTCATCGTGAATATTTGCAACACATCATCATGTGTAACATGATAATACTTCTTCCCCTTTGTCATCAACAAAAAGGAGAAGTGTCACATTAAGTGTTTGTAATATAAGTTCTAATCATTTGCATGATAAACATAATCTCCATTTTTATCATCATGCAATCTAGCAATTAAAGATGTGTAAGTTTAGCAACCGATTGCTTCTTTTTAGGCTACAAGCTAGCAATTTTTACGATATATAAGTTTTGCTACATACAAGCTAGCAAAAATTTCGAAAGCAAATGCAAGATAGCTTTCTTGTGTAAGCTCAAGATTCTTGTTTCTTATTGCAATGTGCAAGTCGCAAGTTTTGCTTATTGAGATAGGCAAGATAGCACTTTTGTATTTTTTGTTTCTTACGATAGGTAAGCTTGTGATGTTCAAGATAGCAAGCTCTTTCTTCTCTTTTGAGAAGTGTCATTTTTGCTTCCTTAGCAAAATGTCAAATTAGCAAGAGACAATGTTTTACATGAGGCAAGCAAACAATTTGGCAAGTGTTACATTTGCATCTTCTCTTTAGATGTACAAGAAAGTAAGCAAGTTTTTACATTTTCTTGACTTGTGCAAGCTAGCTAATTTCTCTTTGAGATGACCCTTTACATCAATTCAAGATAACACATTAGCAACTCTTTCTCCCCCTTTGTCATTGACAAAAAGAAAGGAAGACCCTTTACATTAATTTTTAAATCATAACAAAGGTAAGTATTAATCTTATTTGTGCATCATTATGTTTTTAAATTAAAATATGCACAATTTCAAAACTTTACATTTGTATCCTTACTTAATGCATTATACAAATAAATTAATCATTATGGGCCTATCATACATGATACATCATTTTAGTAACAAATCATAGCATTTATCAATATTTTGATCATAATACCAAGCATTCATCATTTAAAGCATTCATGATACACATTATATGCAAATATCATCACAATAAAAAGCAATTGCATGCATATTTTCAAATCATAAATGTTTCAAATCATGATGGTATTAATTTGTCAGATTGCATTCTACCATGCATGATCAAAACTTCTCCCCATTTGAATTTCATGCATAATTTCATTTCATCACATTAGGAATATCAAGAAGAATTAATTGGGTAATGAGATAAATATTTTATGAATACACGGAATTGTATAAAAATCATATCATAAGTGTTTCATGCATTCATATCATCACA